CAGGAGCAAGACATTGTTCAGCTTAAAACAAGCGACACGGGTGCCCAATAGGCACAGACAGGAGCAAGACATTGTTCAGCTTAAAACAAGCGACACGGGTGCCCAATAGGCACAGACAGGAGCAAGACATTGTTCAGCTTAAAACAAGCGACACGGGTGCCCAGTAAGCACAGACAGGAGCAAGACATTGCTCAGCTTAAAACAAGCGACACAGGTGCCCAGTAGGCACAGACAGGAGCAAGACATTGCTCAGCTTAAAACAAGCGACACAGGTGCCCAGTAGGCACAGACAGGAGCAAAACATTTCTCAGCTTAAAACAAGCGACACGGGTGCCCAGTAGGCACAGACAGGAGCAAGACATTGCTCAGTCTAACACGAGTCCTACACTAGGGACGGGAATAACAGGAACACGACTGGTCTCCTTGTGGATCCAAACAAGCAAAACGGGTGCCGAGTAGGCACAGACTAGAGCAAGACATTGATCAGTCTAAAACACGACTGGTCTCCGTGTGGATCAAACAAAGACTGGCGAGGTTGTTAATGCTTTTGTAGTTATTGTCCATCCCCTCTCCAAGACAAAGATTCCCACTATGCCAGGAGTCACGGTTTCTCACGTTAGCGTGGGAACATGGCGTAAGATGATTATCCCCAAGTAGGGATGCGATCGCCAGTGGTCACGCCTTACCGTCCGTTCCTTCCCCAAAAGCAATAAGCACATCGGTGCCACAACGTCATGAGTATCACAAGTGTACCATTTTGCTACATACTACATTGACATCTACCATGAGAGTCGTCTGTTAATCCACGAGGATCCCTGCTTCAGCTTTTAATTTGCTATCTTTGTCTCCGACATCTAACACTAACGCTTGCTCTGCTAAGCTTCAGCTGCACTTTGCATTGTGTTGCATTTGTATCAGGTGCCACTGCTGCTGCTTTTCATATTCTGTTGCTTCTGCTTCTGCTGCTGAAACTTCTGTAGCTACACTCATGTTGCTGCCATTTATACTATGCTTGGGGTGGGGTAAAAATTATGGCTGCCCAGTAAAAAAAAAAAAAAGGCTTCACCCGCAAGCATACACTGGTTTGGGTGTTCACCATCCCCGGTTTAATTACATCCCGTAGATCTTATCTGGGACTGGAGTAATAATACACTGGATCTCTAGTTATCTCACCAAGCATGCAATCTTATTCAATATGTAAAAAATCATCATAACATAAACGAACGCTTGATATGATATTCTTCGATCAATGTAATCCGGTGCAGAATTTAGACATCTCATGCACGAAAGAAGTCATTGTATAGGACAAAGAAAACGGACTTCTCATATAGCAGCTGCTGCAATAGGCTACACGACGATCACACAATACTCCAAAAGCTCGGGTTTCACACTAGTTTTTTGCCTCCGTTTGCCTCTACAGCGCGCTCGTTGGAGAGCTATTTTATGCCCTTTGTAGCCCTAGAGATGGCTATAGAAGCAGGAGCCGTTCCCATCTTTGATGAAATTTAGATCTATTGAAAGCCGTTACGCTCGACTGAAGGCGCCTTTGAAATTGTTTCGTCCCATCAGGACTAACAACATTTGCGGAAATCCTGTGTTGCCAACTGGATTTCGTAGAAACTGTCAAGACTGTCTTCAAAGATTCTCAGCCACAAGCCATGGCATTAAAATGATGTAAACTTAAATTCAGCATAGAATGAAGAGTTTAAAAAATAGAGTGCAGTGAATCATGCAAGGGAAAAGATTATAAACTGACATTGTATACACAAAGCTAGCACTTCTATTTACTGGAATTCAGTTAATTGCAACTTTCCCAAATACCAATAGTTCTGAAAAGGCGAGTTTTCCGGTAAATATGCCGAGAAAAATAAACTATTAGTGAAAGGAAGGCAACTTAATAATTTCCCATCTCCCCCTCTCCCC